GGGCAGAGCGAACTCCCGTCTCAAAAAAACAAAAAAAAAAAAAAAAAAAAATCCCCAGTGTATTGTTTTGTTTTGCTTTAAATAGTCACTTATCTTTTAAGATACTTTAAATAGGGACTGGAAATAGTACCTCATGCCTGTAATCGCCAACACTTTGGAGGGCAAGGTGGGTGGATCACCTCGGAGATTCATGGACGTTCAAGGACCAGCCTGGCCAACATGGTGAAACCCCATTCTCTACTAGAAAATGCAAAAAAAAATAGCTGGCATTCGGTGGCGTGCGTGCCTGGGGGCCTGGTAATCCCAGGTACTTGGGAGTCTGGATGGGCAGGAGGCAGGCATAATGCGTTGAACCCAGGGAGGCGGGAGGTAACAGTGAGCTGAGATGCACCATTGCATTCTAGAGCCTGGGCAGCAAGAGCAAAACTCCATCTCAAAAAAAAAAGATACTTAAATAATAAGAAAAAGGTCCTTCATTTATCCACATAGTTAGCATTTCTGGCGTACATTTCTTTGTATAGACTCAGTTTTTATCGAGTATCATTTTCCTTGCACCTGAAAGACTCTCTTTAACATCTCTTGTAAATGCAAATCTGACCTGCAGGTGATAAATTCTTTTTCACCTTTTGCATATCTGAAAAAAATCTCTTAATTTGCTTTTCTTTTAGAAGATATTTTTCTGGGAATAGAATTCTGGATTGACAATTTCTGATGGGACATCCCCAGTCATTCTTAATTGTTTTTTTTGAGACGGAGTCTCACTCTATAGCCCAGGCTGGAGGTGCAGTGGGGCGATCTCGGCTCACTGCAACCCCTGCTGCCCGAGTTCAAGCGATTCTCCTGCCTCAGCCTCCCGTGTAGCTGGGATTACAGGTGCCTGCCACTGCACCCGGCTAATTTTTGTGTTTTTAGTAGAGACGGGGTTTCACTATGTTGGCCAGGCTGGTCTTGAACTCCTGACTTTGTGATTCACCTGCCTCGGCTGCCAAAAGTGCTAGGATTACAGGCATGAGCCACTGCACCCAGCCTATTTTCTTTTTTTTTGTCTTGTTTTGTTTTGTTTTGTTTTTTTGAGACGGAGTCTCGCGCTGTCGCCCAGGCTGGAGTGCAGTGGCCGGATCTCAGCTCACTGCAAGCTCCGCCTCCCGGGTTTACGCCATTCTCCTGCCTCAGCCTCCCGAGTAGCTGGGACTACAGGCGCCCGCCACCTCGCCCAGCTAGTTTCTTGTATTTTTTTAGTAGAGACGGGGTTTCACCGCGTTAGCCAGGATGGTCTCGATCTCCTGACCTCGTGATCCGCCCGTCTCGGCCTCCCAAAGTGCTAGGATTACAGGCTTGAGCCACCGCGCCCGGCCAGAACCCAGTCATTCTTATCTGTACGTAATGGGTCTTGTTTTCTCTGTCTGCTTTTAAGATTTCCTCTTTATCACTGGTGTTCCGAAATTTAGTTGTGATGTGTCAGAGTTAGTTTTTTTGATGTTTCTTGTGCTAAGGGTTTGTTGAGCGCCTTAGATATGTAGATCTGTAGCTTTCAATAAATGTGGAGAAAAATTTGGCCATTATTTCTTTAAATTATGTTTTCAGCCCCCTCCCCATGGACTCCAGCTATGGGTGTTAACCTGTTTGGGTCATCCCACCGCTCACCAATGCTCTGTTTTGTTTCCTCTGTGTTTTATTTTAGGAAGTTTCTATCGCTGTGTCTTCAAGTTTATTAATCTTTTCTTCTGCAGTGTCTGATCTGTTAAAATCATTTTTCATCTGAGACATTGTAGTTTGAGGTGGGGCTTTTTAATCTGCGGAGTCTCTACATGACATACTTGATCTTTTCTTTACTTTCTTGTGCATAGGAAGTACAATTATGATCATTTTGAATGTCCCTGTGTCCTAAGTCTATCATTTCTGCTCAGTCTCTATTGATTTCTGTCCTCATTATGGGTCTTTTCCTGCTTCTTTGTAGTTCCTATTCATTTTTTTACTGGAGTTCACCCTCTTGGGTGCTGGTTATTAGTGTATTCCTATGAGTATTCTTGAGCTTTATCTTGGAGTAGTTTGACCCTTGCAGGGCTTGCTTTGTTGGGCGGAACAAGGACAGCATGTAGCCGAGGGCTGGCTTTGCCTCATTGTAGAGGCAAAATCCTCTGAGCGCTCTTTCTAAACCTCCCTGTATTCTGAGGTTTTCCACTCTGGCTGACAGGAACGGGACTATTCCCAGCCCTGTGATTCTTTGGGATGGTTCTTTTCCATGCTCAGGTAGGTTCCTCCCACCCATGCGCTGTGACTCCCTGGGGACCCTTGGGGGAGCTCACCCTCTGTGCAGCTCCCTCCTCTCCAGTGCTCTGTCTTGCACACTCCAGCTGCCCTGGCCTGGCCTCCCCAGCCTCCCAGCCCCATCTCTTGAACATCAGGAGGCTGCTGGGTTCCACCTGGCTTCTCCACTCTGCACCTAGACTGGAAGCTCCAGGCAGGAAGCTGGGGCAATGGGAAGCGCTCCTGGCTTCATTTGTATACATTTCTCAGGAATCAGTGTCCTTAGCCTGTTGTCCAGTGGCTGGGAAAGATGGTTTTCTATGTTTTGTCTGCACTTGTAGTTATAGGCAGGAAGGTGACTTGGTCCCATCTTGGCTGGAAGCCTCTGACCTCATAACTCAGTTCTGTGGTAGGAGGAAGTGCATTAAATTAAAAAGCGGTAATCTAAATAAGGGATTTCTCTTACATCTGTAGATGGGAGGCCAAAACATCACTATCCCTTCCATCTGGCCAGACTTTCTGTGCCTAAAAACAGGGTTCACATTCATTAAAGGATTGATTTATTTATTTTTGAGGCAGGGTCTCACTCTGTCACCCAGGCTGCAGCCTCCACTTCCCAGGCTCGGGTGATTCTCCCACCTCAGCCTCCCGCATAGCTGGGACTACAGGTACGCACCACCATGCCCGGCTAATTTTTGATTTTTTTGTAGAGACAGAGTCACATTGTATTGGCTATGCTGGTCTCAAACTGTGGGCTCAAAAGACCCGCCTCGGCCTCTCAAAAGTGCTGGGATTACAGACGTGAACCACCACTCCTGGCCAAAGGATTTTTATTTCCTTAGGGTTTTTGGCTGTGGACTGGCTCTTCTTTAGTATTAAAATGACCTAGTTGGATGACTCACAATCATTTTGTAGATAATAATAATAATAAAATAGCTAATAGCTCCATGTACTGTCCTAAGAGGTTTATATATTCTCTAATTTAGTCTTTAACCCATTCTATGAAGTACTAACCCCGTTTTGCACATAAGGATAGTGAAGCACAGAGAGCTGAAGTAACTTAGCCAAGACTACACAGCTAATAAGTGATGGCCAGGATTGGAATTTGGGGTCTGGCTCCAGAGACTGTACATTTAATCAACATGCAAAACTGCTTCTGGACAAGTTCTGTTTATCTAGTGAGAGGGCAACAGATACAGGCTCCTTCAGCTTTCAGAACAAGCCTTAGGACCCCATCTCAACCATCTTGCTTTCTCTCCATATCGTCTTTTTTTTTTTTTTTTTTTTTTTTGAGACAGGGTCTCACTCTGTCACCCAGGCTGGACTGCAGTGGCACAGTGATGGCTCACTGCAGCCTCGACCACCCACGCTCAAGTGATCCTCCCACCTCTCAGCCTCCTGAGTAGCTGGGACTACAGCATGCACCACAGTGCCTGGCTGATTTTTTTTTACTTTTTGTAGAGGCTGGTTTCTCCACATTGCCCAGGCTGGTCTCAGACTCCTGGGCTCAGGCAGCCGGCCTACCTCCATCTCCCAAAGTACTGGGATTACAGGTGTGAGACACTGTGCTCGGCCTTCTTTTTCAATAATTGTTTTATTTACGTGTGTATGTGTGTATGTCTGGGTCATACATGCTTATGGTTCAGTTTCGCAAGATTTAAGAGGATGGTGAAAACACGTCTCTCATCTGCCTTTCGTCTCTCAAAGCCGCAAGTGCCCTCCCTGCCGCACACCCTCTCTTCAATTTGATTGTCTTTCCGGAGGCCGTCTTCACAAATACAAGCTAGGAATAAATAGCAGCACACAATCCCCTCTCTTCTATACTTTGTCTTTTAACAAGTTGATTTTATGTTTTGTTTTGTTTTGTTTTGTTTTTAAATGGAATTTCACTCTTGTTGCCCAGGCTGGAATGCAATGGTGCTATCTTGGCTCACTACAACCTCCGCCTCCTGGGTTCAAGTGATTCTCCTGCCTCAGCCTCCCAAGTAGTTGGGATTACAGGCGCCTGCTACCATGCCCGGCTAATTTTTCTATTTTTAGTAGAGACGGGGTTTCACCATGTTGGCCAGGCTGGTCTTGAACTCCTGACCTCAGATGATCTGCCTGCCTTGGCCTCCCAAAGTGTTGGGATTATAACCGTGAGCCACCACATCCAGCTTTGTGTTTGTATTTTTAAAATAATGGTTGTGGGGCCATGCACGGTGGCTCACGCCTGTAATCCCAGCACTTTGGAAGGCGTGGATGGATCACTTGAGGTCAGGAGTTTGAGACCAACCTGGCCAACACGGTGAAACCCTGTCTCTACTAAAAATACAAACATTAGGCAGGCATGGTGGCGGGCGCCTGTAATCCCAGCTACTCGGGAGACTGAAGCAGGAGAATTCGCTTGAACCCGGGAGGTGGAGGTTGCGTTGAGCCGAGAGCCACCCGCTGTACTCCAGCCTGGATGACAGAGCAAGACTCCGTCTCAATCAATCAACCAATCAATCAATCAGTAAAGGTTGTGATCACTATGAGAGGGTCACCGCAGTGAGGGATGACAGTAGCCAGTGCCTTTATCTGTTACTAAACTAAGAAACAAATGACCAAAGATTAATTCCTTTTTATTTATGACCTTTTACACAGTTCAGTCTACAGACTTAATCTGTGCCTAGTCCTAGGGGCAGAAAGATCTGTGACTTGGTCCCTGCCCCGAGGCAGCTCATCTTCTGGAGGTAGACGCAGCAGAAGTAGCTGCTGTGATATGGCATGGGCTCTGTTGGAGAAAACTGGATCTTGAAACAAGGAAAAATGTTTCTAGAATGCTCTTAGGACGTGCTGCCAAGGACTGTTGATGATGTTGCAGTTGATGGTGAATGCCTTCTGGAAGCAACCCGGGTGGAGGACACGGAGTTACTTTTGCTAAGGAGCCAGCTCAGAGTGGATTCTGTAAGCTGAGCCTCATCTGGAGCTTGAGTCTGCACCTCCCTGCAGAATTGCCGGGCTTCATGCAGGCAGTCAGCTGCCTGTGATTGGAGGGCTGGTGCTGGTGGGGATAATGAACTTGGTAGTGTCGGCAGAGGTGATTGGCCGGGCTCTGCTGCAGTGAGAATGCAGACTGGATGCTCGGGTCCTCGGCTTGGGTGATGAGCGAGGACAGCTGAATAACTGGGAGCTCGAAGTTGCTTGCTGCCTCTGGGAGTGGTCTGCTTGGCTGTCGCGTTTTCCTTTTTTTTGTTGTTGTTTTTTAAAAAAGCCAAACGTTTGCTCACCATCACCTGCAGAAGTGAGTTTTTATTGAAGAAGCTCCAGCTGCTTTCTCCTTATTGCCGGCAGCCCGGCAAGGCTCCCTTACAGTGAGCTACTTCTCAGGCCGGGCACGACAGCAGTGCTAGCACATTTGAAAAAGCAGGAAACCGCCCCTGCATGCAGAGCTTCCAGCCTGAGAACTCCCAGGCCAGTCTTCCCAGCAGCTGTGTAGCCAGAGAGCCTTGGTATTGTGGTCACATCCCTCAAAAGTGAACAGTCACCATCGGAGGCGTTTGGAGGAGACTGTGATGTTGCAGATGCTGTGGCATTTCCTAGCTAGCTTTTTCCCCAGGGCTGGGTGCCAAGGCTCCAGAGAGGGGGACGATCATGAAGTCAGAGGCACCCCAGCCCCTGCCCGGACAGACCAGATGGCAAGCTTTTTGGGGAAAAAGGACGGAAGGGCTGAGGCCACGGAAAAGAGACCCACCATTTTGCTGGTGGTTGGACCTGCAGAGCAGTTTCCTAAGGTAATGTTGGCCTCAAGAGGACCTCCTAGTTTAGGGCCTGGTCTGGGATCATTTTCCTGGGGAAAAAAACGAGTGTGGGGAGGAAGGGAGAACTCATAACGTTAGTTTGGGGTTCAGTGAGAAGTGGTAGGCAATGAGGAAGCCCACAAATTCAATCTAAAATCTTTCTGTGGCCCCTGTGAAAGCTGCATTACCCACTGCAATCACCCCAGTGTGGCTGTTGAGGGAAGGAAGGTTGTGATAGATTTGCTTTAGGATTTGTTAGTTTGGCTGAAGAAGGCCATTTGAAAGTGAGGGGCAGACTGTGAAAGTGTGCCTTAGCTTATCTGAACAGCTCAGGAAGGGCGAAGCTAAAGGGGCGAGAGTGCGCCTCGACCTTGGAACCCAGTTGCTTGGAGCTGTGGGGGTGGTCTTGGCATCCTGAAGGTCACAGTCCCCTTGCCTGGGTCCGACCCATCTCTCCTTTGGGCCTGGGAGGAAGAGTGAAGGCGTGAGACTGGGTCCGAGGAGAGGCTGGAGTCATGAGGCGCAGAGGCTGGTGCCCCTCTGGAAATGACTGCGGCGGCTGCATGTCTGCCAACTCTGGGGTCTTTCATCCCTCCTGAGCCCAGAGCCTGAGTTACCATCCTCACAAGAGCCAAGGTAAGTGGTAGTATCCCCATTTCGTAGATGAGGAAACTGAGGGGCAGAACGGTTACATTATTTGCCCAGGGTTAAACAACTAAAGAGAGGTGGAGCTGAGATTTCACCCCCAAATCCTTGTCCTGTGCTGCCTGGTTGTCTCCTTAGGAAAGCGGTTTTTAACGAGACTAATGGAGTGCTCAGTATTAGAAAGGAACTCACCATTTGGCTCAGATTTCTCCTCCCTGCCTAAGGAGTGACCTTGTTCACCTCCTGAGCTTTGGTTATTTTGAATCTTTTTACTCAGGATAAAAATCAGAGAAGAAAAGGAGATTCTGCCCTGTTTGGCACATTGTAGATACCACAGAAATGTTAAGTTGAATTGCTGCATTTAAGAAATAAAAGTTCATTTTGCCTTTGCTACTAGAGACTTTTTGATGTAATAACACGTGCAGTCATGTGGGCACTGGGGAGAAGTCTTAGTCTTTGATGGGTTCCTTCTGAGCAAAGCAGCGGGTCTCTCAGAGTCTGTTATGCCTGAGATGTGCGTGCTTAATATGCAAAGAGAGGGTGTCACTTTTTACCTTTTGATTGTTTTAGGCAAGATTGGAATGGCTGTGGCACTAGCTTTGTGAGGAACTTTTATCTGTAGACCTGCTTGCCTTATTACTACCTCGAATGGCTGGCTGCCTTTTAAAATCACCTATTTTTGTCTTTAGCAATTAGCTGCTCTATTTTTCAGCATCATACAATACCCCCTTGCCAGCTCTCCCTCCAGGGACTGCCTCAGGGTAGGACTGTCTGTTCTGAGCAGCTTAGTTCCTGGCCTGCAGAATCAAGAGACCCACACCTTTTACTGGCTGATCCCCACGGAGAGACAGTTCAGCCGGCTGCAAATGGGGGGAGCCCCAAGTGGAATATGGAGCAGCTGGTTGGGTTTGAAGCCAGAGAGAAAGCACATCTGGAAAGGACAGACTCTCAAAGCAGATAGATCAAGAACTGGAGCAACAGGAGCATGGATGCGGCCCGCATCCTTTTCCAGAGCAGTGCTCTGAAGGTGTTTGGGGTTTGTGATCACTGGCTAATTGGGGCTGGCCTCACCAAATCACAAAAAGGACCCCCAGAATGTTTTGGAAACGTTTTTGAAAAGTTTACTTTAGGCCAGGCGCAGTGGCTCATGCCTGTAATCCCAACACTTTGGGAGTCTGAGGTGGACAGATCACAAGGTTAGGAGTTCGAAACCAGCCTCGAGACAGTGAAACCCTGTCTCTACTCAAAATACAAAAATTAGCTGGGCGTGGTGGCGGGTGCCTGTAGTCCTAGCTACTCGGGAGGCTGAGACAGGAGAATCGCTTGAATCCAGGAGGCGGAGGTTGCAGTGAGCCAAGATTGCGCCACTGCACTCCAGCCTGGGTGACAGAGCGAGATTCTGTTTCAAAAAAAAGAAAAAGAAAAGTTCACCTGGATTCTCAGGCTTCTCAGCATCCCAGAAGCACTACTTTGTTTTGCTCTCACTTCCCCTGTTTAAATATGTCTGCTAGTGAGTGAGGTTCCTGCAAGCTTTTATTCTAGGAACTGTTCCAGTTTTTCCCTTTATCTTTGTCTTACAGTTAATCTTCAGTTGGAGAAGAAAGCCATTACTCTGGAGTGGGAGGTGCCCTCAGCGGCATGCAAGCTTTCAAATCCTGAGGGGCTGTCTTCTCGGAAGCACAGAGAATTTTGCTCATTGTGTGTGTAACTGCCAAGTGTAGGCAGGTTTCATTGGAAACCGGCTACACTAGGCTGTCATGGCAACCTGATCATCAAATGACACTGTGGCCACAGCCGCCAATGAGGTTTGAGAGCCTTAAGGGTGGGTGGGGCTTGAACGGCTGGATGCTGGCAAAGCTCCCTCACATGTTAATATTTCTGGCTAAGTCTGAGTCATTGCAGAGGAGGGAGAGGAACTTTCTGACCTAATGCTACACTCCCAGAGGCACTGTACCTGCCCTGTTCTTATTCATGGTATTCCGGCCCTTACCTGAAGCACCTCCTTTCTTCGGGCATGTAACATAGTGGTAGAACAAGGAAAACTTTTGGTGGCATTGGCAGATTTGCTGTGAGAAGATGCTCAGGAGAGGAACTGCTACTTTGTAGATTAATTGCAATCTGAGTCCTAAGGGTCCTAGTGTTGCTGTCACTGTTTCCGAATACTAGTCATAGGAATGGACGTCGGAGGAGCTGAAACCGATGAGGGTCTGTGCCACACAGTCAGAATAATAAAAAGCAGTGAGGCATCACATACAATGCGCGTTGTGCCCAGATCTTGGAGTGCCAAGCAGGCCGGTGTGAAGCATCAGGGCTAAAACCCGAGGCCTGCTTTAGTTCCTCCATAATCTAGTTCTCATAGAGGCGTTCATAAGCTGTGACACAAACACCGTTTTTGGTTGTATTTAACTAGGGCTCAACTTGCTCAAGTTACACCTTTCCCACACACCTGCCACCTTCCAGTATGAGGTATCACCTACTGTCATTCCCAGTGTCCGGCTTACCGGCATCCTTTGGGAACTGAATACTAAAATCTGTTTTGGGTGCTGTTTGAAGTGGATATTGTAACAAGAACCCTGGGTGCAAGGCCCTGCCCTGCCATTGACAGGCTTTGGGAATTGGGCAAATCAGGTCACCTCTCCCAGGCCTGTTTGCTTAACTCGGAGATTAAGGGATGATCCCAGAGCCCCTCTAGGCCCCCACAGTCTGCAATTCCAGGAATAGAGCAGTTGTCCTGGGCACTAGCACCTAGAGATTGTCTTATTTGGGTAGAATTCTCCATTTTTATATGAAAATGGAGTCCTGAGTTACCTGTGAAACTCAGTAAGATGGATGATTTAAATAAGCAAACGCCAATTGAAGTTTATCCAATGAAGACATTCCATGGGACTCAGTCACAGCAGCAAATAAGTTAGAACCCTTTTAAAAATTAGCCGGGTATGCTGGTGGGCACTTGTAGTCCCAGCTACTCGGGAGACTGAGGCAGAAGAATCGCTGGAACCCAGGAGGTGGAGGTTGTAGTGAGCCACGATCACGCCACTGCACTCCAGCCTGGGTGACAGAGCAAGACTCCATCTTAGGAAAGAAGAAAGAAGAACACAGGTTTCACTTTTATTTAGTATCATTTTCAAATCTTTTCTCAGATTTCTTTTGTTAGATACATTATAAAACTCAATGGTACAGTAATATGTGCCATAATTATTTTTAAAATATACTTTATTAGAAAATGAAATCTTCAATTGAATTTATTCGTCAAAATATTTGCTTTTTTGTATTAGAATGACTGCAGTCATCACTAAAATGAGATGCTCAACAGATCTGTGTAATTTAGTTTCAGAAGCAAACAATAATTTAACAAAGGAAGACCAGCATTTTTTTTGTAATAGGGCAACATCTCATTTTATAAAATAGAATGAGCATTCCTAAAGACCAGCATTTTAAGGTTCAGCTCTTTTGTTTATAAATGTGAACCTCCTTTAAAATAAAATAATAGAGGCTAGGCGCAGTGGCTCATACTTGTAATCCTAGCACTTTGGGAGGCCGAGGCAGGCAGATCACTTGAGGCCAGGAGTTGGAGACCAGCCTGGCCAACATGGTAAAACCCAGTCTCTACTAAAAATACAAAAATTAGGCTGGGCGCGGTGGCTCAAGCCTGTAATCCCAGCACTTTGGGAGGCCGAGATGGGCGGATCACGAGGTCGGGAGATCGAGACCATCCTGGCTAACACTGTGAAACCCCGTCTCTACTAAAAATACAAAAAATTAGCCGGGCGAGGTGGCAGCGCCTGTAGTCCCAGCCACTCGGGAGGCTGAGGCAGGAGAATGGCGGGAACCCAGGAGGCGGAGCTTGCAGTGAGCTGAGATCCGGCCACTGCACTCCAGCCTGGGCGACAGAGCGAGACTCCGTCTCAAAAAAAAAATCAGCCAGGTGTGGTGGTGAGTGCCTGTAATCCCAACTACTTGGGAGGCTGAGGCACAAGAATCGCTTGAACCTGGGAGGCAGAGGTTGCAGTAAGCCAAGATCATGTCACCACACTCCATCCTGGGTGACAGAGTGAGAGTCTGTCTCAAAAATAATAATAATAATAATGATACATTATCTTGTTCATTGGTGTATAATGCCCTGACAACTCTATTTGCAGATGCTCAGAAAAATAGGCCTTCATCAAGTATGGTTATGAGTTTGTTTATTGGGGTGTTAGAGGCCCCCTGAGCTAATTCACTCATTGGAAGCTATTCATGAAGCACCTTATTTGATCAAGGCAAAAGGTTAGTTCCAGACAAGGAGGTTCAAGGGTTTGAAGCAAGAGCCTTCTACCTTCAAGGACCCTGGTGGTAGAGATAAGATACGTGTTAAAATAGCCCAAGGCAGAACATTCTGGATTGGGCAGCTTAAGAGACAGCTGAGTGTCATGGATTTAGTGGCAGCTGAGCAGGAATCTGCCTGGATAATCCAATGTGACCTCATAGGATCCGTCGCTAGGGTAGCCCAAGACCTGTTCTCACAGACTCGTTATCAGATCTCCATTAGAAGGGCCCAAATGTCATATCACTTGTCATGATCTCTGCTTCATAATGTTGTGTGTTAGTATCAACATCTTGTAATACCCTCTTTACAAGTTAACAACAAGCTTTTTAGTGCATTAAGAAGTCCTTTTACTTCTGTGATCCCCAAGTAATAACTATCCATTTTTATCCACCCCGGTAGTGGGAAGATGTAGTCTATATTAGGAAGTGGCGCGCTGTGAAGGAACAAGGGTGAGACTGAGCCTGTTCTCATCTTGGTGACGTGGTCTCTTCCTCCGCAGCACGAATCTGGGGGGAAGGAATGAGTGGAGAATTCAGGCCGACCTGCGGAGAATCGTCCTGCGCCGAAAGAGTCGTTCTTGAGCTGTGTTGCCCAGTGACGTTCCCGTGGTGGCAGAAATGCCCAGTGACCACGTGTGGCTGTCCTGGGGAACTGAGTTTGTAATTTCATTTCATTTTAATGAATTTACTTTTTTGTTTGAGACACAGTTTCACTCTGTCGCCCAGGCCAGAGTGCAGTGGCACAATCCTGGCGCAGTGCAACCTCTGCCTCCTGGGTTCAGGCAATTCTCGTGCCTCAGCCTCCCCAGTAGCTGGGATTACAGGCGTGCGCCACCACGCCTGGCTATGACTTTACATTTAAAAAGCTTCTGTGTTGAACAGCAAAGTTCTGACTGTGACTAAGACTGGGCTCCTACGTGTTCTGAGTGGACGTGGGCATTGAAGACTGTGGATCTCGTGTGAGGCCTCGGCTGACCCCAGATTGATGCTTCTGGGGGGTCCTTCGGCATGGTGTCCTCTTCCCAACCCCATCGTATCAGCTCCTGGGCACTCTGGGGCCCCTAGGTGAAGGCTGGTGCTCACACTGCAGAATGGCCTGGAAGAGGTTTCAATGCAATGTGGGCTGTGGAGGGCTGCAGGTCCCTGGAACAGGAGCCAGCTAGAACTGTGCCTGGAGCCGTGTGTGGCCAGGGCAGCTCCCCTGTGGGATACACAGGCCCATGGTGGGGTCCACTTTCCAGGGTGACTGGGCACCTGGCTCTCAGCCACCCCTCAGCCTCCTGTCCTCACAGCTGAACTGGGCCCGTTTTCTGTGGCAATCAGCTCTGTCTCCATCTACTGATTTTTCAGTTGGGAATGATTTACTAAAAGGAGAAAACTGTTGTATTGTGTGACACGTGTGTTGTGTGACACGTGTGACAGGCCATAAGCTGTTTGTTCATTTGGAGGGGTTGGCAGCCAGAGCCAGAGGGTGAAGGTTTGTTTGGGCTCTGTACCTGGTACCCAGGCAGGCAGAACGCGCCACCCGGCCTCTTCTCCAAGAGTTAACTGCAGGGAGGGAGCGGTGACGTCAACCCTCATCTTTGTGCCTCTCACTTGAGCAACCCGATGCCACCTTCTCCCCCAGGCTCTGTGTTCATTGGCTGTTGGCAGGACTTGCCGTGGGAGGGTTTTTTTCTTTTTTTCAATTAAGTAAAAGGGCAGGGCTTAAGCAGCCAATGACAGCTGAGGCCGGGCTTGTCTTATGCAAGTTTCCCTGGGACCGGCAGCATTTAGGGAACTTGCTCCCAGTGGTGAGGGCAGTGGAGCACCCAGCAGGCTGCCAACATGCTCTGTCTGTGCCTGTACGTGCCGGTCATCGGGGAGGCCCAGACCGAGTTCCAGTACTTCGAGTCCAAGGGGCTCCCTGCCGAGCTGAAGTCCATCTTCAAGCTCAGCGTCTTCATCCCCTCCCAGGAGTTCTCCACCTACCGCCAGTGGAAGCAGGTCTGTGGGGTGACCATGCGGAAGGGAGAGGCGCGTTCAAGTGGTATCTGTTGAGTGAATGGCTGAGCATGCATGAACCATCCCCCACCGAGAGGAAAAAATGTCTGAAATGTAGGAGTTTTTTCCCATTGTCATGTGGCTATGGCCGGCACGTGTACGTCACAGTAGTGACTGGTTTTCACGTGACTTCCCGGGAAGGCTGGAATTCTAGCGAAGGCTGTTGTGAGAAATGGACTTTCAGAAAGGAAATTCCTTTTGCTGGAATGAGGCGGGTGTTCCTGAGAAGTACGGAGCCAGAAAGGGGTCTGGGGGGCCAGGCCATAGTGCAAGGGAGGAGAAGGCAGGGAGGCCCAGGAGTTGAGGGTGCTGGTGGGGGAGCTGCCCATCCCTGGTGTGGGGGTGAGGGAGCCTCCCACCTTCTCGACCCTTAGACATCCCTGTGGAGCAGGGCCTGTGTCCGCCCTGAAGGTGGGGAAGCCGAACTGCAGAGTCTAGAGGCCCCTTGCCTCCTCGGCCTCTCTGTTAATCAGTTTCCCTGCTACCCCCAGTGCCCACTGTGCACCGAGGGGGATTTGCAGATCCAAGGAAGGAGACAGAAGGAGACTCAGGCCCCGTGAGGCAGAAGCAAGCACTTTGAGAATGCGTTGAAGCCAGCTGCGGTGAGCACACCCTCTGCTCTGGGTGTCTGTGCGACAGCACCCACCCCAGGGAGGCATGTGGCTCACCCTGGCAGCAGTGCAGGTGGCTGGGTCCCAGAGGGCTCCATGCCTGATGTTCACCTGCTGCCTAAATGGCTTGTCCACTCTATTTCCATTCCTGTTAGAGATCTGGAGCAGTCACTGTATAGGTGATTTATGTCACTCTTGGCTGAAAGCACAGATGTCCACAGGAAGTTAAATGTAACCTCAGATAGAAGATAAAATATGTACCAGCATCTGTCCCACATTCCAGCCACACCCCTCGCATTAGCCTTTTGAGCACGCCAGGTCATGGGGTATCTGTCATGGGGTATCTGTTCAGGCCTCCCTGCCCCTGGCACCCTTGGCAGCTGAGGAATCACAAGGCACCATCAGTAATGTGTCTAAGAGAGAGGCGCGGTGGTGATCCTTTGAGGATGTGAGCTAGCCAGTGGGCCATCCAGTTCCAGACTCCAGCTGGCTGTCCGTTGATTTCTCCCAGTGAGAAAGCCGGGGGACACAGGAAGACTATACCATCTTCCTTGGGAGAGTCTTGGTTCCAGTTTTGGGTTCTGGATTCAGGGCGTTGCTGAGTTGGGGTGACTCACTTTCATCCCCCATGTTCTGGAGGTTAGCCTTGAGGGTGGTGGCAGGATCTGCAGGGAGGCGGCTTGGGAGGACCACGGCCCGACTTGCATCCCGCCCACCACTTCCCTAGCTGTCTGGCCTTGTGTAAATGTTTAGCCTCTCGGAACTCCTGTTTCCTTCTCTGTAAAATGGGGGAAATAACATTTCCTACCTCCTAGAGCTGTTTGCGAGGGGTTAGTGGGTTGCTAAAAGTAAAGCATTTAGCACACCCTGTGGCCCGCGCTAGGTGCTGGGGAAATGTGCGCTCTCATGGCACAGTCCCAGTTGCTGGGCATCCACAACCATTAACAACTGCTGAACAAAGCCCACCTCCTGGGAGGTAGGGGTGGAGGGATTACTTTTGGAACCTCATTGCCAAGGAACAGTCTCTCAAAGCCTTCTTGGGACACTAAAGTGCTTTTCAGTGACTGACTGACAGAGCCAGGGCGGCTCTATCACCTGGCTTCCCTGAGAGCAGGGACTGGCAGTACCATCATACCCATGCCCTTGGCTCCTTATACTTCCCCGGCCTCGGGTGCTGTGGCAGAGTCTGGCTCTGCCCCCGATTTTCACCCTGCCCACCAAATTATTCTTGGACCAATGCCAGTTTTAGGAGGGAAACAGCAAGCTGCAGAATTCCTGTCGGAAAAAACTCCATGGCCATCCCCACGTCTCACCAGGGAGCATGTGTGGTTGAAGCCTGGGTCCAGGGACCCAGGGACGGCACTGCAGCAGAGCCACACTGCTCACCCTGGCTGTGCGGCACGCGGGTCTTCAGACTGACAAAGTGCCCAGCTGTCCCTGTTGGCCTCTGTCCAGAGGGCTCTTCCTGGGCTGCTCGTTTCCTCTCTGCTTGGGAGGGAGACAAGATTGGCGCTTGCCTGGGTTCTGGCCAGCACTTGGGGCTCTAGGTGGTGGCTCTGGCATGTGAGTCAATTGCCATAGTGGCTCTGGGAGTGGAGCAGAAGCATCTTGGGTCCTTGGGGCCAGCTCTGCTCACGGATTAGTGCAGTCATTGCCTGGGGATGGGGCCCCACAAGGGACAAGGAAAGGCTGTTCCAGGAGCCAAAAGACAAAACCTTACTTTTCTTTTCTAGAAAATTGTACAAGCTGGAGATAAGGACCTTGATGGGCAGCTAGACTTTGAAGAATTTGTCCATTATCTCCAAGATCATGAGAAGAAACTGAGGCTGGTGTTTAAGAGTTTGGACAAAAAGAATGACGGTAAGTGTTGCCTTCAGAGCTGCAGCCGGTCCAGCCTCGGGCCTCCCTGTGCGCCTGGCTCCTGCTCACGGCCTCTTTTCTTGTAGGACGCATCGACGCACAGGAGATCATGCAGTCCCTGCGGGACTTGGGAGTCAAGATATCTGAACAGCAGGCAGAAAAAATTCTCAAGAGGTGAGTGCTCAGCCAGCCTCTGTGTTTGGTTTAAGTGTGATGAAAGGAAGGCTCTGAGACTAACCCTGCGATGCCATTCCCTATGCTGACCCTGTTTCTCTGAACTTGGCTTCTCGTGGTTTGAAAGGATGAATAAGTAGGCCGGGCACAGTGGCTCACGCCTGTAATCCCAGCACTTTGGGAGGCCGAGGCGGGCAGATCATGAGGTCAGGAGATCGAGATCATCCTGGCTAACACGGTGAAACCCCGTCTCTACTAAAAATACAAAAAAATTAGCAGGGCATGGAGGCGGGCACCTGCAGTCCCAGCTACTCAGGAGGCTGAGGCAGGAGAATGGTGTGAACCCGGGAGGCGGAGCTTGCAGTGAGCCGAGATGGCGCCACCGCACTCCAGCCTGGGTGACTGATCGAGACTCTGTCTCAAAAAAAAAAAAGAAAAGAAAGGATGAATAAGTAACCCCTGCGGGAGGCCAGCCCCTCCCCAGCATTGCAGGCCAGCTTTCATTTGAAGAATCACAGATCACCTGGAATGTTGCCCATCGGCCAGCGGCCCATGAAGGGAAAACTAATTTGGGGGTGGTTCAAGTAGGTAAAAGGCCAGCAAAGAGCACCTGTGTGTGGTGGGGGCAGGGCAGGGGGCTCACACTGCAGCCTCGATCCCAGGTGAATTTCTTCCCCATGCTAGTAACTTGCGCTTAACAATTTAGTCAGAGGCGCTGCCCCACAGGATAGCTCCCTGGTGAGGGGTGGCTGCCAGGAAATCTCACGAAACAGCCCTGGGAGTTGCCGTCTGTCCTGGCTGGACCTTCCCAAAACCCTGTGGACCAAACGCTGGCTGGTCCTCGGGGACAGCAGCCCCGGGCTCAGCTGCTGTGGGGCTTGTCTCGTGCCGTGCTGTGCCCACGTCTCTGGGTGTGTGCTTGCTTCACTAACATGGCTCCGAGCACTTATGCGTGTTGTTTCTCCTCTCTCCTCCGCATCCTTTGTCTGTCTGTCAGAATACGAACGGGCCATTTCTGGGGCCCTGTCACCTAGTAAGTATCCGTGTCGCTCGTGACTGCCTCCCTTGACTTCCATGCCTGATCAGAACGGGGTTCTTGTGGGCCATTATATTGCCATTGTTGTGCTGAGTGGGGTGTGCAACCCCCTGCTCTTTCACTTGGGGGCAGAGGCGCCTCGTGTGGTTTCTGGGCCTGCCCTCGGCTCGCTGGGAGGTGGGGGGACGCAGCTGGCGGATGGGCAGGTGGGCAGCCTCGCCTCTGTCTCGCAGCATGGATAAAAACGGCACGATGACTATCGACTGGAACGAGTGGAGAGACTACCACCTCCTGCACCCCGTGGAAAACATCCCCGAGATCATCCTCTACTGGAAGCATTCCACGGTGAGCCCCACACACCCGGGGCCCTCACCTGCTCCCAGGGCCTGGCGCCGAGTCACCCAGTTGTCCCCATCCCAGAGTGCAGCTAGGGCTTTCCAGCCGCCGCCTCCTCCACAGGAGACTGTCCCCTCTTCTGCCAGGTGAGGAGCACCTCTGGCCTCCCCTCCTGGAGCGGATGGTCCAGGGGGACAGGACTGCACAGCAGGACTCAGAGAGGGAGAGTAGAGCTGTCCGCATGTTCCCCCTGTTCTGGCCACTGGCCGCCTGAACAGCCCCATTGTTCACACACACGGGGGTCGTCTTCCAGGAACACCCCCCATCCCCATGTGCTCCTGCTCATGGGCCACTTCAGATACCCTTCCCATGATGCTGCCTGTTCTGCCAAAGCTGGTATGACCCTTCCCCCTGGTGGGAGGGGGCCGAGGCAGAAGCTACTCTACAGAGAGCACCTAGGCAGAGCTGTGAGGTGTCCCCACGGGCACACACTTGCTGCCCTTTCACCGCTGCCCCCTGTGGTTTCATGTTCGGAAATGTGAGTCTGTATTGGTCTCTGGCCCTGAGCCCCTCACACTTGGCATGTCCCTCTCTGAGTCCTGGTGTGCAGTCCTGTCCCCCTGGACAGTCCCCTCCAGGAGGAGAGGCCAGAGGGGCTCCTCACCTGCCTCTCACTGTGCCAGACCAGGGCTTGTTGGGTGAAATTAAGTGGACACCTCCAGGGGTGGGAGCAGCTGGCCCAGAGCTCTGGCCTTTAGCCCTGGGATCAGAGCAGAGGTGGCTCTAATCAGCCCGGATGCCACCCGGAGAGAGGTTACGCAGGCAGCGAGCCCTCGTGTTTGCTGAGGCCTTGCATAATGTTCTGCCAGCGTGATCTGGTTACACATGAGGTTTCAGACGGCTCTTACCCCAGCTTGATCCCTTCAGTGCAGCCAGCCTGGCGATCTCACACAGGTCTGTGAGCTGTTCTTAAGGAGCTCCCTGGAAGCTTTGCAAAGGGCCGGTGAATGGTTTTGTACCTGGCACCTTCCGGCTGTGTTCAGCTGAGGTTCTCTCCAGGCCCCCAGCTGGGGTGAGAACTCTGCTACCTTCAGAGTGAAGGTGAAGGCCCCAGTCCACTTCCCACCCAGGATCGTTGGCCTTCTCCCTGTCCTGTGGTCCCTGGCCTGGAGCCATGCTGGAGGGTAGAAGGCGACAGGTGCCAGCAGCCTTGCCCCGAGGGTCCTGAGTCAGGCTTATGCCATCTTTCCTCACAGATCTTTGATGTGGGTGAGAATCTGACGGTCCCCGATGAGTTCACAGTGGAGGAGAGGCAGACGGGGATGTGGTGGAGACACCTGGTGGCAGGAGGTGGGGCAGGGGCCGTATCCAGAACCTGCACGGCCCCCCTGGACAGGCTCAAGGTGCTCATGCAGGTATGTAGGGAGAAGGCCCCCGAGCCCTGGAGGGGCCAGTTTCCACTGGGGGGATGCTGCTTGGCTAGTTTTCCCTTTCTCTGGCTGGTCCTGCTTTGGGCCCAGACTTTTCTAACCCAATAAATTAGACTGGAATTATTGCTCAGACAGGGGGTACCAAAATGTCACTCTAGGTGACATTTTGTGCAGAGCGGATCTAATTTTATCTGAGGCATCACATTACAGGGGCATAATGTGGACAGGTGAAGCTACCGAGACTGGGGTGAGGCAGGAACCAATTTCTGTAAGCATGTCTTGTGTACGTTACCCCACAGTGGGGTCAGCAGAGCCTCACCTGACCCAGATGCCAGTGGGAAGCCACACCATTACCTTGGCCAGGTACGCAAATCCATGTCCACACAGCAGAGATAAGCTGGGCTGATGTCAAGGCAGAATTGTGAAACCCACACGACAACACTGGTGGACTTTGATGTCTGAATGGTGACTGGCCACCACCTATCCCCTTGCTCGTACCTAGTACTTCTTGTGCCAGGAGCCCAGCTTGGACGAGCTGCCTCCTTTCCCTCCCCACCTGCCTCGCTGGGCCTCCCTGTGTCGCACAGAGACAGGAAGCAGGTGGTTCAGGGCTGAGCGCCTTGGGCTTGGACTCTGCCCGGGGCAGCACCACAGCGGCCTCCCTTCCTCTTGTGGCCTTGAGCAAACCCCTTTCCCTCCCAGGACTTCCCCTCCTCTGTGAAAACAGGGGCTTGAACAAGTGCCTCATCCTTTTGTTTTTTTAGCAGAATTGTCAGGAATGTTGTAGAGATTGAAAGCAGGCCTTGGGTGAAATCAAATGCCTGGGATGTGCCTTTAAACCAGCATGGGTGGGGCAGCAGGAGAGAGGTTGGCTGTGGTTTGATCATTGTTTTAATATGTTTTAAGTTTTTTTTATAATGAAAAATTCGATTTTTAAAAATTATTATTATTGTTATTTTTTTTTTTTTGAGACAGTCTCACTCGGTTGCCCAGGCTAGAGTGCAGTGGTGTGATCTCGGCTCACTGCAGCCTCCCCCACTGGGTTCAAGCAATTCTACCACCTCAGCCTCCCTAGTATCTGGGATTACACCCACACGCTACCACCCCTGGCTAATTTTTGTATTTTTAGTAGAGATGAGGTTTCTCCATGATGGCCAGGCTGGTCTGGAACTCCTCACATCATGTAATCCGCCCACCTCAGCCTCCCAAAGTTCTGGGATTACAGGTGTAAGCCACCAAGCCCAGCCCTTTTTTTTTTCCCCCCTCTAAGATAGAGTCTCACTCTGTCACCCAGGCTGGAGTACAGGGACACGATCTCGGCTCACTGCAACCTCCACCTCCTGGGTTCAAGCAGTTCTCCGTGCCTTAGCCTCCCAAGTAGCTGGGATTACAGGTGCCTGCCACCACGTCTGGCTAACTTTTGTATTTTTAGTAGAGACGGGCTTTCACCATGTTGGCCAGACTGGTCTCGAACTCCTGACCTCAAATGATCCATCTGCTTCGGCCTCCCAAAGAGCTGGGATTACAGGCATGAGCCACCACACCCGACCTTGATTTTTTTTTTTAAGTCATCTTTATGGAGATGTTCAGGACAAGGCTGGCAACCAATAGATACCCAGTACAATGGAGCTGAACCTCACTGAGCCGTGTTGGGTTACTTTGGCCTTGTGATTCCAAGCTCATCTTCAAAACTCACAGAAGAAAGAGCCTTCGTTTTGGCCACAGCCAGTTGGCCAGCAGAGGCTCTTGGCCGGGTAAGGCAGCCTATGGCCCCCCCGGGTCCGTCTAACTGCTTGGTCCTCCCTCCCAGGTCCATGCCTCGCGCAGCAACAACATGGGCATCGTTGGCGGCTTCACTCAGATGATTCGAGAAGGAGGGGCCAGGTCACTCTGGCGGGGCAATGGCATCAATGTCCTCAAAATTGCCCCCGAATCAGCCATCAAATTCATGGCCTATGAGCAGGTGAGGACCCAGCTTCTCAGGGAGGGTCACCAGCCAGTGGCTATTCACTGTCTGGACTTGCTGACTTTCCCTGGACCGAGCTCCCTGACACTTGGAGCCAGCCATGGTATCCCAGGGACAGCAGGGCGAGGCGGGAGGCCCGGGCTCGCCACCAGTTCCTTACATTTCTGGGCAGCATAAAATGTGCCGGGGACTCCAGGGCTCAGCTGAGACTGCCTGGCTCCAGGAGGAAGGGAGGGGCAGCAGCAGGTGCCTCAACCTCTGGGTATATCGGGTGGTTTGTTTGCTCCTGGTTCTAGATCAAGCGCCTTGTCGGTAGTGACCAGGAGACTCTGAGGATTCACGAGAGGCTTGTGGCAGGGTCCTTGGCAGGGGCGATCGCCCAGAGCAGCATCTACCCAATGGAGGTGAGGGGCCACCTGGGTCCTGGGCCGGGCAGTGGGCACGGGACTGGGGAGAGGTGCAGGCTGTGCTCACGCTTCCCGCCGCTCCTGTTGTGCAGGTCCTGAAGACCCGGATGGCACTGCGGAAAACAGGCCAGTACTCAGGAATGCTGGACTGCGCCAGGAGGATCCTGGCCAGAGAGGGGGTGGCCGCCTTCTACAAAGGCTATGTCCCCAACATGCTGGGCATCATCCCCTATGCCGGCATCGACCTCGCAGTCTATGAGGTGAGGCCCAAGAGGGCTCAGGCCCCGGCCCAAGCCGGACAGGTTTAGAAACCCCCTCCCAGCACACCTCCGCCTGCTGTCTCTCTCCTTGACGGACGCATGCCTAGTGCAGGAAACTGCATCAAAGACTGCGTCTCCTTCCGACTCCTGTGTTTATTGCAAGCTTTCCTTCATCCTGCCTGCCTCTGGCAGCCCCTGTGAGCCCTGCATCCAGGCTCTGCGTCCCCAGGGGCTCAGCAAGCAGATCCCCAGAGCAGGGTGGTCCCTAGGGGCTTGCAGGCCCCAGCACACTCCAGACAGACCCCAGAAGTCAGCCCTTCTGTGTGGGGTAGGCGGTGTTCCCTCTACCTTGTCCTGGAATTCCCAGTGACAGCAGAAACAGGACAGCCAGGCTAGGAGTCCAGCCAGGCCCCGGGCCCGGCAGTTGGGTTCCAGTGGCCTGAGGACCCAGTAGCAGCCCCCTGTTTCTTGCTGCCTCGCTAGCCCTTCCTGGGGCTTATCCCATGCTCCCTTCCCCTTCTAGACGCTCAAGAATGCCTGGCTGCAGCGCTATGCAGTGAACAGTGCGGACCCCGGTGTGTTTGTGCTCCTGGCCTGTGGCACCATGTCCAGTACCTGTGGCCAGCTGGCTAGCTACCCCCTGGCCCTAGTTAGGACCCGGATGCAGGCACAAGGTAAGGCTGGCCCTGGGCAGTCCCCTGGGAGTTCGGAGGGTGCGGAGAGAAGCATCTGACTGGTGGCCTCCCTCCTGCAGCCTCCATTGAGGGCGCTCCGGAGGTGACCATGAGCAGCCTCTTCAAACAGATCCTGCGGACCGAGGGGGCCTTCGGGCTGTACAGGGGGCTGGCCCCCAACTTCATGAAGGTCATCCCAGCTGTGAGCATCAGCTACGTGGTCTACGAGAACCTGAAGATCACCCTGGGCGTGCAGTCGCGGTGACGGGGGGAGGGCGGCCCCGCCGTCGACTCACTGATCCTGGGCCGCAGCCCGGGGTATGCAGCCATCTCATTCTGTGAATGTGCCAACACTAAGCTGACTCGAGCCAAGCTGTGAAAACCCTAGATGCACCCCAGGGAGGGTGGGGAGAGCTAGCAGGCTCCAGGCTCACATGTGTAGGAACAGGACATTTTCTGCAGTGCCTGCCAATAGCGAGCTTGGAGGCCGGCTTAGTTCTTCCATTTCAGCTGCTGGCCACGGCCCCTGCCCTCTGGCCTGCCGTGCATCTCCCTGTGCCCTCTGCTTCCTGCCTCTCAGCTGATGTAATAAGGTGGGAGGAGGGCTACAGCCCACATCCCACCCCCTCATCCAACCCCGTAGTCCATGGTGAAAGGTGAGGTCACGTGGCCTCCCAGGCCTGACTTCCCAACCTAAAGCATCGACGCCAACTTGGCTGTGCAAGGAAGAGGAAAGGGTCTGGCCTTGGCACTCACTGGCATCTGAGCCCTGCTGATGGCTGGGACTCCTGGGCATGCATGGGAGTGCATGGGGCTCGGGCTGCCTGGCCTGGCTGCACAGAAGGCAAGTGCTGGGGCTTATGGTGCTCTGAGCCGGCTCTGGCCCCGTCAGGATGGGCACCACCTCAGAACCAAACTCACTGTCCCCACTGTGGCACGAGGGCAGTGGAGCGCCGTGTTTGAGGGCGAAGGGCAGAGCATTGGCGTGTTCTGGCAAGGGAAGGAAAAGGTGTTGGAGGCCTTAATTATGCATTGTTGGGAAAAGGGTTTTGTCCAGAAAGACCAGCCAGACAAATGAGCGACTTCTGTACTTCCAGAGGAAGACGAGGGAGCAGGGAGCTTGGCTGACTGCTCAGAGTCTGTTCTGACGCCCTGGGGGTTCCTGTCCAACCCCAGCGGGGGCGCAGCGGGACCAGCCTCACATTCCACTCGTGTCACTGCTTGGAACCTATTTATTTTGTATTTATTTGAACAGAGTTATGTCCTAACTATTTTTATAGATTTGTTTAATTAATAGCTTGTCATTTTCAAGTTCATTTTTTATTCATATTTATGTTCATGGTTGATTGTACCTTTCCAAGCCCACCCAGTGGGGTGGGAAGAGAAGAAGAAGGGGGACCTTGGGCCGCCGCAATCACGTCTGTCCAGAGAAATTCCTTATGGGACTGAAGGCAGAAAAGCGGCCAGAAGGCAGCAGCCCTGGGTCCTTTCCTTTGGCAGGTTGGGGAAGGGCTTTCCCTAAGCCTTAGGATTTCAGGGTTTGACTAGGGGCCTGGAGAGAGAGGGAGGAACCTCAATAACCTTGAAGGTGGAATCCAGTTATTTCCTGCACTGCGAGGGTTTCTTCATTTCACACTTTCTGAATGTCAAGGCAGTGAGGTGCCTCTCACTGTGAATCTGTGGTGGGCGGGGGCTGGAGGAGAGGGTGGGGGGCTGGCTCCCTCCCTCCCAGCCTTCTGCCGCCCTTGCTCAACAATGCTGGCCAACTGGCGACGTCACGGTTGCACTTCCATTCCACCAGAATGACCTGATGAGGAAATCTTCAATCTTCAGTAGGATGCAAAGATCAATGCAAAAATTATTGTTATATATGAACATATATAGTTATAACTGGAATTGTCAAAAAGCAAATTAAGAAAGAAATGGAAGTTGGAAGTTGTCATTTAAAGCAGCCTTCTAATAAAGTTGTTTCAAAGCTGATGACAGAGCCAGTATTTTTCTGACACCCCGGACCCTGCGTGGTCCAGGGTTGTTGACATGTTAGAAAATGAGCGCAAACATTTCCCCTCTGGAGCCTGGGTGGCGCCCCCTTTCGGCTTCTTAGAGGCACTCCCTCTTTAGTGGGTGTTTGTTCGATTTGGGGTGCTCTGACAAAGTCACCAGTGCCCTGAGTTGCTGTAGGGTTGTTCCTCAGCCTGTCTCAGGCGGGGGGGGGGGTGTCTGTCCCTCCGCCAGAAGTGCCGTCTTCACAGAGACACCAAGGACATCGCTGGGCTTCTCTCCCCTCCCACCAGCTGCCCCTCCCAGCCTCACCCCGCTCCTGCCTCCCCACACCCTCTTCAGTAACCTCATCTCACTGAGGATTACCTTCAATATCTATATTTAGATGACCCTCCTTTTATACTTGAACCAATTCCAGCTTCATCAGTACAACTGTGAAATCCATATCCACTTAAACAGCACATCCAGTTCAGCGAGTCAGAAGCCAAACCCTTCATTTTCCTCCCAAAATCTGCTGCTCCATTTTCCTCATGCCAGCAAATGGCAACTCCTTTCTTCTATGAACTTAAGCCAAACACCTTCTAGTCAGCCTGACTCTGTACTTCCCTCTGGTTCCACGGCAGTCCAGCAAATACCGTCAGCCTCACCCACAAAATAGATCTGCTCTCAGGCCACTTCTCCCAACCTCCACCCCTGCCACCGGTCACAGGCAGTGTCATGTCTCACGTGGACGATTGCAAGACCTAAACCTCCCCCTGCTTCCCTTCACTCTCCACCCCAAGCCCGAGGGGCCCTTCAAAAACCTAAGTGGATAACCAGGCATGGTGACAGGTGCCTATAATCCCAGCTACTCCGGAGGCTGAGGCAGGAGAATGGCTTGAACCTAGGAGGCAGAGGTTGTGGTGAGCTGAGATCACGCCACTGCACTCCAGCCTGGGTGACAGAGTAAGACTCTGTCTCAAAAAAAGAAAACCTTAGTTGTTCATGTCACTCAAATCCTCCAATGAATAGAGAAGCTGGCCGGGCACGGTGGTTCACGCCTGTAATCCCAGCACTTTGGGAGACCAAGGTGGGCGCATCACCTGAGGTCGGGAGTTCAAGACCAGCCTGGCCAACGTGGCAAAACCCCATCTCTACTAAAAATACAAAAATTAGCCAGGCGTGGTGGTATTCACTTGTAATCCCAGCTACTTGGGAGTCTGAGGCAGGAGAATCGCTTGAACCTGGGAGGCAGAGGTTGTAGTGAGCCAAGATCACGCCACTGAACCTGGGTGACAGTGAGACTCCATCTCAAAAAAAAAAAAAAAAAAAACGAAAAAGACAAGCCACAGGCTAGGAGAAAATCTTTGCAGTACATGTAATCTAACAGAGGATCTGTATCCAGCATGTATTAAGTGTCTTAACGCAAAAAGAAGAGGACAAGCCAGTTAACAACTGGCATTTCCAAAAGCAAGATGACTTAATGGCCAATAAACATGAAAAAGAGCTTAACTCCATTACTTGTCAGGGACAAGCAAAACATTGAATGAGGCCCAGAGCAGTGGCTCACACCTGTAATCCCAGCACTTCAGGAGGGTGAGGCTGGAGATCACTTGAGGCCAGGTGTTCAAGACCAGACTATGCAATACAGCAAGGCCCCATCTCTATCAAAACAGTTAAAAGCATTTAATAAGATACCAGTGCGTACACACTAGAAGGACTAGAACTAAAGATGTCATCACTGTAGTTTGATGAGAATCTGGGAGCAGCCACACTCCTCAGACTCTGCTAGCACAAGGTAAAATGCCAATCATTTTGGAGAATTCAGCCTGGCCATACCTGAATTTTTTAAAAAGGGAAGCAAAAGGCCCTTCAAAAACCTAAGTGGATAACCAGGCATGGTGACAGGTGCCTATAATCCCAGCTACTCCGGAGGCTGAGGCAGGACCCTCCGCCAGAAGTGCCGTCTTCACAGAGACACCAAGGACATCGCTGGGCTTCTCTCCCCTCCCACCAGCTGCCCCTCCCAGCCTCACCCCGCT